AGGTTGCGAAAATATTCGTTTCGCAGATGGTTTGTTCGCTGCTTGCCAGAATCACGTCGAAATTCTCCCGGGATCTCCGCGTATATACTGAAGGAAATACGCGAACGCAGAGTCTACATGGCTGCAGGATTTCCGTGGATCTCGCTAGTGGTCTAGCGAGTTTATTCGAAACGAGTGCACCGACAGTGACTCTAAATTTCCCCGACTTCTTTTTAGTCTTCTTTTCAATCGTGTTTCCCTTTCTCCCGCTCTTCGTCTTTGATAACGAGCTGCGAGAGCTGTAAAAACCTCGAAATGATCGTTTCCAGGAATATTAAATTTGATTCCCAAGGGTAGGAAATTAGTCGAACAAAATTCCTTCTCCGCTAATGTCACGCTCGTTTCCCACTTCATCGCGCTGAAATCCCACGGGTTTCATTTCAAGCGGACGTATTCTACATTTCGATATTTCCCCCATGGCGGTTTATTTCCATCGCCGCCAAACGAAAAATCAAGTGATTTCACTACGTGAATCGTGATCGCTTCAGCGATCTTTGTCCGCAGCGGCCACGTTTCAATCATGTTATGTCGATCTCGCTATTAAATTACAGAAATTCCCCGACTGTTGAGTTTGTTCGTCCAAGTAGAATTGCGTGGAAATGCACACCGAAGGAACGGAAATGCGAAAACTTTTGTCCGAGGTGGTCTCGAGTTTTAAAATTTCCCCTCCCTCGACCAGTTGTTCGGACAAATAGAGGCAGGACTCGACAACAGCGCCAGAATCGTATGGCTCTGCTATCGCTCGTGGAAATTTCGTGGAAATTTCAAAGGGCAAGCTATTATCCGCCGCGGTCAAGTGACTTTCAAACTCGACGGACCAACTCTTATCACGGGATAGGCAACTTGCGCGACTTGATTAATCCAACTGAGGTTGCAATTAATACGATTATTCACCCGTGTCTTCGCAATCTCTGATTAATTGACGATTAATCTTTCTATCTTTCTGGTGACTTTCTACTCTCCTCGATTTTTTTTTTTTTTTTTTACCGTTTTTATCGATTCTCACGATCTTTCTTCTCCGACCAAATAGGTTTCCATTTCACAGTACGTAGATAATTTATTTGTTGTTCCCTTTTATCAACACTAGAACAAGTGACAACTAAAGCATGAAATTTCCATCAGAAAAGTTAAAGAAACCGAGAATTTGTATAATACAATGTAGAATAATACATCTAGAATAATTCAAGTCTGCAAAAGCACATTGTCTTGCATCTGTAAAATTTATCTAAGAAAAATATTCAAATACTGTTGGCCATTTTGATAGTTCTAGTGTTAATTTGGTTTTGGCTACAAGCCCTGATTGTTATATAATATTATTTTCAATTCTCTTTATGCATTAAATTTCTATTGTTTTGTACATCTGTTTTCTCGAAAGAACATTTCTTCCAATCATACCCATCCTCATCTTGTTACTTCCTTTCTCGTGTCAAAAATATTTCTCGCCAACTCGTTAAACGAGCATATTTTTGTTGCAAGTCAGCGTTTGTCTGTTCATCCCTATAAATATCTAACTCTGTAAATCTCACACGCTGATAAGAACTCAAACTGTTACACGTTCGGATGTTTCCTATCTTTCTTCACACGTTGGACAGATATTAGCATTCTATTGCTATAGAATGCTATTTATAGATCCATAACCAGTGATTAAGTAAACGGGAAAAAATTTTGTAATTACAGCGGAAGCAAACACGGACGTTTTATGAGAACATTTTATGAGAATTCAGAGTGAATCAGTGCTGAGAAAGCTAAATCGTCTAAATTGTTGCAGCCGGGCACAGAAATTTCGAGAGAGATTACTCAAATTCTGCCGATGGACTATTGCTGTGCGAAGGAACGTTAGAATCTGTTTGTGGTTTCTGGACAGATTCACACCGTGTGTTCAAGGATGAACGTTCCTCTGCTGAAGAATGAAAGATGGATTTGAAATCGATGTGAAAGGACGTAACGTACCATGAGATGTATCAAGGGTGGTTGGCTCCTCATGAGGTAATAAATTCTACCGCCGTTCGGTATGAACCCATATTTCTTCACCATGTATAAGAAATTGTCTATCATTCCCCTGGCAGTTTGATACATGTCGGATAATAACAGGCCTTCGATCACCCAGTAACTGTCCCAATAGTAAAACTCTGTCGGGGGAAAAATACTTTCAATATTATATTCTGTTTCATTCAATTTCAACACTCTCAATGTTACATTCATTACATTGTAACGAGTGAAAATACTTTCAATGCTATTGAAAATTCACGTTCTCACAAACCATCGAATTTTCGAAAACCTACCGATCTCCGGTTGTAAATTTAATTTGCATGTTGCTCGCGATTTATTACTAATATATTCGGCTGCGATCGTATATTTTCAATTCACTCTTCGTTCGAATCAATTGAATTACTACAGTGAAAGGCGATATACAGTGAAATAGCACATCTGAATTTATGCTATAGAGTTGAACGTAAAATACAATGTTCCGCGTATTTTACGCCCTATTATAATGCCTCTCCATTGTTACGAGTGTAGCCAGAAATTAAAATTCGAACGTTTCATCGCGAGTCTGCCGTTTCGTACGAAAACAACGAAACATTTTCTCATATATTTCACAAGTTCTCCTTTTTTTTTTTTTTTTTTTTTTTCACCTTTGAAACGACCACCGGGAACGATGAAACCATTGTTCACGTAGATCAGACTGTGCCTATCCGGGTGCTTGGCCACTTCGGGATTGATCTTTCTCGCCAGTTCCTTCCAAACGTCGTTCAGAGCTCTCGCCCATTCGCGATACTTGGTTTCGTGGATGCGTTTCAAGATCAAAGGGTTCTCCGTCCAATCCGGCAGTGTCCAGTTTACCAGCTCGTTCGACGAGCCGAAATTTTCCTCGACGTACTGAGCCACCTGGCTTCTCGTCGGATTGTTGCCCGTTTTGTTCATCAAACTGCGGAAGCTGTAATCAAACGTAATTAGGAAAAACCACGTTTTTCTACTAAAAAAAAAAAAAAATCACTTCAGCAGAACGATATCTCGTGTTTTATTTGTGTAATTCTATTCGCAAAATGTTAGGTTGAGTCGTAAATAATTTTAAACAGTTTCTCGGGTTACAAATTCGACAGGTTTGAAGCCGTCAGCAGTAAATAAGTATGCCTCGGAATTAAATGACAAATTTCTAAGCC